TGAATTCAATAAGGCTTTCAGCAGTTTCTCCCGAAAACAGGTATTGGAGGGTAACTGCCTGACTTCTGACTGAATGGACTATTTCTATATACCATTTTGCATCTGTTTCTTAAAACCAACAGGAGGGGTTGATAATCTGTCACATGGGACCACAGACTCAGTGCCAAAGAGCACAGCATGGATAAAGTAGGCTGGGTGGAGGAAGAGAAGTGCTATACTTGTAACTAAGCATAAAAAAAATACACCACTGTGTACCACTAAAGCAAGTTCAACAAAACATTTGGGCATGGAATACCCCTGCCTGTAGGCTGCCTACCTCAAGAAATGCAAAGGGATTCTACCTAGGTATCAAGAAACCTTCTGGCTACATTATATGTCTTTCAATGTTGTATGAACAACAATGGCCAATTTGCATCACTTCTTTGGGATTTAAAGTCCTCAACCTGTAGAATAAGATCAAAGCAGAAGACCCCTGAGGCCATGTTTGCTGACATATGAAGTTTTTTCAGTGTCTAATATATGCCCTGCACTTGATATATGCTTTGCAACAAGGATGCAAAATAACCATGATGTCCACTTTATAGATGATGGATCTGAGGCTCAGAGAGAGTACGTATACCTGACACTGATTCCAAAGCTTGTGCTATTTTACCTTATGGTATTTTCCACTGTGAGTCTAGGGACTATGCTTATAGGCCCCTGCAGTTCTAGGAAAGCAAGAAAATACAGACAGTCTTACAATCTAGGCCTAAAACCAAGTCACCAAATAAGCAGGGTAAAATGCACAAAATTGTATGCAACTAAAAGGCAGAGAGTGAGAGTAAAGAAAAACAATGATAAACAGAAAATATAAAATCAGTATCTATGATAACTGCGAATGTAATAAATTACCTACCAAAAGGCTTAGTTGTAAGAAGTCATTATTAAGAACCCTGTTTCTTTCCATCTTCTGCTCTGCCTCCGTGTCATCTTTGTCTTAAGCTTAGTTCTCCTGAAGGTCATAGGAGTCATAGGACAGCTGCTAATGCAACTGGAGCTTTGTTTCCCCATTCAAATCTGACAAGAGGAAAGAAATATTTTGTCTGAGCATTTCAAGCAAAAGTCCTGAAAGTCACCAAATTAAGACTTCTTAGGTCATGTTCCCACACCTCAATCAGTGACCATGGCCAGGGAAGTAGAGTAACTTAAGCCAATCAGGGCCCAGTCCTTGTTAAAATACTGTTCTCTTTGACAGCCTCTTCCCTTTCTTCCTAGTTCGCTAGCCTTGAGTCCTCACTCTCCCTTACTTGACTCCCAGGGCCAGCTTTATGCATGTGTGACAAGTGCAGCCATACAGCCACATTCTTGGTTTAATGCTCTACTGTCTCATCTTGAAATTATCTTAATGAGTTTTGAACAATGGGTCCCCCCATTTTCATTTTGTACTACGTTGTGCAAATTATGTAGTCAGTCCTCTTAACACTCTTCCCAATCTGTCTTGGGAGTGGGCACTCTTCCTTTCTCTATTATCCCCCTTTATGTTTTTTCTTAGGTGAATCATTTCTAATGGTTTTAGACACTCTACATACAATAAATCCTCCAAGTATTACTCAGCTCAAACATCACTGAGCTCTATTTGTTTACACCCATTTTGTCATCATGGATGTCTAGTCAGTGCCACAAACTTAATATATTAAATATGGATCTTTTTATTTCCTCCCCAAAATATCTGTTCTATCATGCTCAGTACATCCAAGCCTCCTGAGTAATCTTTGTACCTTGTATGCACTATCTGCCTTTCTTGACTCAAAGCATTTGGGGATCTTGGTTCCCTCCATCCACCATAAAGTTTGTACCAATTTATACTCTCACAAGCAATCCATCATAAGGCCCATTCATCCACCATGACAGGGCATTGTTTTTTCTACTCATAAGAGTAAGAAAATGATTATCTTATTTTGTAGTCCTTCAATTAGTAAAAGGGCCAATTAATTGGCATTTGCCTTTGACTTCCTTGTTCTATGTGTCTATTTTCTCTAGTGGATTATTCTATTAATTTGTAAAAGTCCATTATATATTAAAAATACTGTCTTAATAAAAGTGAGTTAGAACAAACCTGGAATAAGAAAGGAAAAATCATTAAGAGATCTCAATGTAAGATAAAGCATGACAGAAGGAACAGGAATGTTCTTGACCTGGGAACAAAAAGATCTAGAGAGTGTTGCAAGGTAAAGATCAGGTGCAAATGCTTTACTTAGGAATTGAGCTTTGTATGTCTGTTGTCAGGTGGGTCCCTATGTGGTTGCCACTTATCAGGACTTTGAATTATACATAAATATGGGTTAAGAAATGGTCTTCTGTGAAGCAAATCTACAAAGTCAAGGTCAGCAAGAGGACAGACAGGGCCCCGTTCTGTCACACAGGGGCAAGCTGTGGCTGGGAGCCTGCCCCACTGTTTCTTCCTTTATATGAATGGTAAGGTGTAACAAAGCAACTTTGTCAGACTGGTTGGAGCCAGTCTGGCTTGGGAGTGAGTGACTTATACCAAGTACCAGTAAAGAGGTAAGGAAGTTGTCAATGTAAATATTGATAGCAGACCCATCAAAACTTGCTAATAGATTGGGTGTGGTAAAATGAAGGAAAGATGGGAATCAGGGATATCTCCTAGGTTTTGTATTATTTTATTTTTTAGCACCTAGTAGACAGTAGAGCTGTTTACTAAAATTGGGGAAGACTAGGGAAAAAAACAGATGACACTAGCTCAAATCCCAGTGATTGGGAGAACAGTAGTCAGATACATGAGGTTTAGAATGGGAAAATAAAAAAAGCAAAGAATTGTTTATCACATCGTGTTTGAGAAAGGGGACTATTCTACAAGTGCTCAGGAGGTGACTGGTATCATTTCAACAAGTATCAGAAAGTAAAGACTGAGAACATTCTTGATTCAAGAACATAGAACTCATTTCCAATGTGAAGGTGACTACAATTAAGCTTCTACAATTGTCTGTTTCCATTGACAAGCTCAGTGCTATCTACAATTGCTAGTATTAAGTCCTCTGATCCCTCACTTCAATCTGTAGAGGCATCATCACAGGCTATGAATCTGTTTCTATTAAGACAGGAAAGTAAGAAAAATTCACATTAGTAACCTACCCAATCTAATATCTTTTCTGGGACCATTATTCCTCACTAAAATATATGGGTATATGTAATATATATAGTTATTAGGGGTATATATAATATGTATATAAAAGATATATTGCAAATATATAGAGAGAGAACATGTAGCAAGGACTGTGCTAAATGCAGTGCATGCATTATCTCATCTCACCTTCACCAACAACCCTACAAGGTAGTCAGGTTTATTAACATACCCAAGCACACACTGCTATTATCCCCATCAATCCACACTTGGATTATAACCCATACAATCCAACTTCACGGCTTTTTAAAGGTGGCAAAGTCATCTCTATCTGGGTCTTCCAGTAGTACACATCACAATTCTGGCCCACAGGGGATCACTAAAGAGTTGAATGAGTGAATTAATATATGCTCGCAGCTCAATTTCCTCTTAAACTAAGAAAAACTACTTCAAAACAGAAACAAAAGTAAGCAAGTACTTACATCTGCCTCTTCCTCCTTGGCTGGGGAGTAGGAAGGTTGACACAAAGGCCATTTGCTTCCAGAAGTAGAACCGCCAACAATCATTAGAAGAGGAATTCTGGTCAGACCCAGAGTTAGGTAACCACAGTTTCAATGTGTTTCAGTAACAGTGTTATTTCAGCATCAATGTCTATCTCCACAATGAACTGTGCAGAATACATTGATATTTGGGGAAAACATAACATTTAAAAAATGTAACTCTACTTCAGTTTTAGCTTTGGAAAAATTCAACCTATTTTAGACATATAATTCAGGAAATGTTTATTTACTTTAGGGGGAGAAAAATGCTTAAGGCCTTCCTCTCCTACATCCATCACTCACTTTCTAGCCTCAGACACTTTTTGCTACAGATCCATCGGTTCACTAACTCAAACTACCCCAAACTTAATTTGTGTGGCTGTAAGCAAATCTTTCATTGCATCTCACTCATCAAATCACCTTCTTTTTTGCTATTTTTGACATTTTAAAAGTTTCAATTCTACTAGTCATTTTAAGTTGTGCAAGTAACCATGAAATTAAGTAAATAATTTGTAACCTCTAAGTGCTTATTGTGTACCAAGCACCATTCCAAGAGCCTTACATATATTTTACCTCACTTATACCTCAAAGCTATATCACTGTCATTTTACAGATGGAGAAACTAAGGCCAAAAAGATTAAGACCATCAATATAGGAGCTTTAATTAAACTGCAAAAATACAAGATTTGCTGGCAATAAAGAAAACATCTTTATTATGATTGCTTAAATGATTAAAATTTGCTTGTTTCCTAGATAAAGTAGTCTGTAACAGGATAAAAAAATTACAAAAAGGCAAGCTTCTTAGTGATTCATTTGAATTAGCTATAAAATTAAAATACTTGCTAATACCTTCTAAAATAACACAAAATATATTCAATATGTAATACAAACCACAATAATCCAATTTTTCCATTTTGCAATTATTTACAAACTGAACTAAGAGATTTAGCTAAAGAGAGATAGTAAAAAACAAGTATGCTTTCAAATAATGTTATCTTGAGTAATGTATTCTTTGGAATAGATCTATCCATTTAGTATATGTTAATTATAACAATTTTTAGTTATACTTTGTTGGTGCGAATTTAGCCCAATTCAAATCCCCATGTGCCTAGGAAAAAAAAAACCACTCTTTTTAAAAGCTATTAATAATTTTTAATATAGCTTAATAATTCAGACTGACAATCCTACCCTACTTATTCTAAAGTTATAGAATTTAATGATACCCTTTATTTTTAATAAATGGAACTTATTAATAATGTAAAGCATTTTCCTTTCTAAACTAGTTTTATTCAGTTATCTATACAACGTTATGCACTAGTAAGCAAAGCAAGCAACATTACTCTTTTTTAAATAACATCTTTAATTAAAGTTTTTGCAAAGGTAAAATATTAAAACTTAAAATAGGTCTTAGTACATCAAAATACTAAGTTCTCTGACTGTATTCCAAGATGGTCTTTAAAACATAATATCCCATATATCACAGAAGAGCAACTTTGATCTGCAATTGTACAGAATGAATTTTACAAACATAATAAATATATTTACGCCCTTACACATAACAGTATGTACAACAGCAGTTGACAATAGTAGCTCAGAACAGCAAAAAAGAATTAGCCCCTCCCCAAAAATTGTAGCCCTGATGCATACTGGCTGATTTAAGGAACCTTGATGGAAACAGTAGTTACTAATTCAATGTAATTCTTCCCTTAAAAAAAAAGTTTCTCTTGTTTCTCAAAATGAAAGTATTAAGTTTGGTTCATTCTTCCTTAAACCATAAAAAAATGGCAAAATATAGTCTAAGGCAGGCTTAAAAGGGTAAACTTCAGATAAAATTTCCATCACATAATAGATTAAAATGTGAAACTATTTAACATAAACCCATGAAGAAATATATAAAGAAACTTTTTTAACCAATGAATTCAAAATCTGCAATAGCTGAATAAGACAAACAGGTGGGAGACATGAAATAAAATGAAAATGTACAAAGATGGTTCAATAAAATATTCCATTGCACAAAAGCTCAAAAAAGTTCAAGACGAAGTAATCTGAAAATATAGGAATATTTTTCAAGTGGAAGAAAATGCTAAGTTATAAAGGGAACTCCCAAGAGAAAATTATTTCTGTTTTCCTGTACAAGGCCTATTTACTTTCTGAAAAGAGTGGCGACATTATTGCTATATGATAATAAAAAATTACTCTTAGGAGACAACCCTTTTCATTCCTCCATAAAAGCAAGAAAAAATAAGAAAACTAAATCCTTGATTTTTACTATAGCAAAAGAAAATCTTTATACAAAAGCTATTATATTTTTATGTTCTTGATATCTAAAACCAGAATCTATTAGAATATGCTCTTCAAGAACACATTTTAATCACTATACACATTGCTCAAATCTTAATGTATTCCTAGAAGATTACAAGAAGGTGACTTTGATTTTAAGAGAGGCGACAATATAAATGTAGTATTACGGTGGAATTTAACAAAAAGAAATGCGAACATTTAAAAAAATATAAAAGCCCATTATAAAGATCCCCCTCATATAACAGACATTTTACTCTAGAAACTAATTGCACATTAAAGAGTTGCTTTAGCCAAATGTGGCTCTCCACAGAAATTAAATGTGCTCAGGCATTCAAATGGTCTGATTATCCAAAGGACCACCAAAAAAGGAGTGAATCATATACTGAAAGGCACACATTTCCACACTTTATCTAGTAATTTTATGTAAATTTTCCTTAGCACTGTTAATGTTAATCTTTTTTTAAAATAAAAGGTGCCACCAGCATCTGTGCAAATCTAAACAAATCCTCTACTGAAACCTTTACTGACTTTCATAATACCAAGTCTGAACTGTTTTCCCTCTTTGAAAAAATGTTATTTTCATTTTGAAATTCTGAAAGTGGGAATCCTTGCCTTTTCAAAGGAATGACATTTTTACGGAAACTAATGAAATGATTTAAATACATTTAAATCATTAAGTGTAAAAGCATGATGATTAAAAATTCAAGTACAATAAAAGATAAGCAAGTGGCATTCTTATAGCAAGCCACTATAATAAAACTAAAACATGCTATTTAATTAAAAAGGAATATGATGCAGTAATATATAAGAGCACAATTTGGTATGCAGTGTTGTTTGGACCGGCTTTCAGAATTTTCACAGGTGAAAGAAAAGCATTTGCCAAGGATGCCATAATAATATGCAATACACAGGTGCAAATATAAATGGTTATTTCCTGCTTCAAAATAACCCTAGTGAATCACTCTGAAAGCAGTGGTTATTCATATTTGAAAAAAAACATATAAAAACAGGCCAGTATATAATTCTACTATGAATATGAATGTTTGTCTATACAGAGGGCCCAAAACATGAGCTGAGTATCATATAGCAATTCAAGGGTCAGTAGCATAAAAACTACTAGATAGCCAAAGGGTTTCAATCAACATCACAGCACTGCTAAACTTTTATAGGTAGTTTAGGTTATTGACTTCTTCATTGGGTAAATAGAAACCTACTATCAACTATATTGAAGGACAATTGACCAACAGGACTTCTGTTATTTCACCCCTCCTTTCTCTTCTCCTGGTCTCATTAATGAAAACAAAATAACTTGTGTGTGCTTTGAGAGCAAACCTCCCCTCCAAAAAATGAAATCAATGTAGTAAAAATAAAAACCGTATTAGCAGTCACAGCATTTAAACAAAACCTAACTACTAGGCATGTCAGAAACCACCATTCACACAAAGTTCAGAACATAAGTTAAAAGGACCAAGCTGAATGTGGGGTGGGATGTAGGAAAAAAAGTGATTAGCCTTTATGAGAAGTTTAAAAGACTGTGCTAATAAAAGGAAAACAATACGTAATAGCTCACAGTTTTTCTTTGCAATGTACTTTAAAGTATTTCTACATTACTTCTGAAAACATACACAAAGGCAAATGAAGACAAAATGGAAGACTTAAAAATAATCAGTATACAAGTAATTTAAACACGTGACTTTTGTCAAGCGAAACCATGAAAAGTTGGTTGGAAAAACACAGAAGTGAAGACAAGTGTTCCTACAGTTCTCAACTAGCTCACTAGTTCACAAAGAACACAGCACTGCCATGTTGTTCTTCAGAGCCCCTTACAGAATACAGAGCTGTGCATTCTTAATATACATATTAAATTCTATTATTTTTAATATACAAATCAAATTTCTATGCTTTCTTCCTCATGTGCAAACTGGAGCCCATGTCTATACTATCAGTGGCCTGGAACACCCACCAAAGGAAAAAGAGGTAAATATGTACTAAGTGGCCCAACCTCCTCTAGCCCCAAAATTTCCCTCAAATTACAAAGTTGCATTTAAAAATAAAGTATTAGAATAACAGTTTTTCAATTCTTTACCAGTGAACACAAATAGCTTTTATAATTACTAAATTATTTAATAAAGATCCAGGTCCTTACTATCTGCCCAATGCTTCCATCTGCCCGATCTGCACAGAATATTATCTGCCTGTTTGTTTAGCTTAAAGACTAAATACATATATAAGTATATGCTTCAGCACAACAGTAAAAATTCTCTATCCATATGTATATAATTCAAGTGAGATGGTATCTTTGTGAAATAAAACTGTATTCCTGTCAAGCCACTTCAGGGTTTCTTTATATGGTATGCGACTAAAAGAAACAAATACAATTTTTCTGTAAGGGAACTGAAGTTCTTATTTTTAATTCTGCTCAACTCAGAAGAAACCCAAGTCTTCAAATTACATTTTAATGAGTATGAAAACTCAAATTTTGTCTCCAAACAATGATCACTGATTACTTCCTTTAACTCTTAAACAGATGTTTCATAAAGCAGGGAAGAAGAGGTATTTGTTACTGAGGGAGAATAGCAAGTAAAAATACTTAAGACCTACTGTAAGAGTTCTAAATTGTTTCCTTATACAAGTAAAATTCAACACCATAATTTTTACCCTTTTGTAAAAAGCTCACATTCAATTTTTACCAAATATAACCACATACAATAAGCAATTTCTGTTCAATCTATCAAAAGGGAAGTTTCTTCACTTCATTCCAGCAAATATCTTTCTGATTGAACCCAAGTTGGAGGAAGGAATATAGACAAAGTTTTACATGCTAATTACGGGTGGTGGGTACCTGTATTTAAAATTAACAATCATAGTTTCCCTACACAAAACCCAGCCCCACACCCACCCCTCACAACCCCAGGTGCTACAGTTCCATGGCTTGCCAGTTAGAAGTAGTGTCTATGTTGTCAAAGTCTCTTTGTTCCAGTAGCTTTGCTTCTACTGCACTTTTCTGACATGCAGAAGTTAAGTTATGTTGGTATATGTCCCAAGTTTCAAACTGTTCACTTTAAATTTTTTAAAAGTTTATTTTGTTTTACTTATAAAAGAACCAACTCTTCACCATTCTGCATCTCCAATGGCTTTGGAAAATATATAATCTCTTCCATTAAGATTCATAATGCCATCCTTGAGATGAAATTTCCATTTGTTTTTACTTCTGTGTAT